GGCGGAGCGCGGGCGCCACCGCGTGGGGTCGGTCCCAGACACGTGGCTGCTGTCAGCGTTCGCTGCGCCGCTGGGGGAGTACCCAAACAGCTCTCGGAGGGTGTTTTCCAGCGCTTCGGCCAGCGAGAATTCAGCTTGCAGTTTTATCTCAGCTCTTCAGAGAGAGCATGTACTCTGCTGATCTCTCCTACTTTTTTTCTTCCCTTAATGGTATCCTTAATAGCTTCAAGTTTGTACCCCTAACTACGTAATAGAAAACACTATTTATTCTCTACGTGGCCTATCCTTTGCAGTTGAGAGGTCTCAGCATTTTCCAGTTTGTGGATATCCTTTTCCCCCTACCTAACTGCGATGCTGATGTAGCCATTTCATGTCGTGACAACAGGAATGTTGCTTTGCCTCTTGGCTTCAATCTCTTGGTGTTTCCAAGTGGCACACACCGTCAGGATCCTGCTGGGAAGCTGCCACTGCATTTATCCAAGCCCTTTTGCATCGTTCCACATCTGCCCAGCTCTCTGCTCTCCTGTAACTCCAGCAGTGTTAGTCACTTTGTGCCTGTGTATGAGTCGATGATGACTGCAAAGGAGGCGACGAAGACCAAGTTAAGGGGTCAGAGGCAATGCAAATGAAGGGCTGTCAGAGACAGGGATAATTCAGACTCGATGTCTGCCTGATATTTTAGTGCTGTATTTCTCCACAAGATGGAAGCCAAGACCCATCTCTAATCCTGAGCTTCTGTATGACTTTTGCTGGAGAACTGCACACTCAGCTTGTACATTTGTACAAGCCATAGAGGCTATGAAGAGCAGTCACCTGCCTTTTCACACTGCCATTGCCAGTTAAATGGAAGGCTCTGTACAATGCCCCATCACAGATTTTGGGCTTGGCTCCAGTGCAAGCAGAGCTGTTGTTTCCCTTGGCCTGACAAATCCCTGTCTCCCATTCTGCCATTACCTCTCACAAGTTAATACAAGTAATAATTACTACTGACTCACTGCTGATACTGAAATCAGACCATTTAAAGCAAAAGGCTTTCCCTGTACTCCTTCACAGCAAATATAAGATGATGAAATACACAAAATATGCATTAATGCAGAGATGTGTCAGTTGCCTGTGCTGATTTGATTCCTGATTTGAAATAAATTCTGCAGGATTTCTGCAGTAAATACTGTTTTCTCCATGTATTTAATATAGGGCAGGGTAGGATTCCTGTTCTTTCCAGTTCTTTGGACTGCCATGTGGCTACTTGCTGGCTTGTCCTGTAAAATACAGTTCTGCCAATCCTAGCTTGAAGGGCCTGGAATTCTTTAAAAAGACCCATCTGACTTGACAGGCATGCAGTGAAACACAAAGAGGTATTGGGTAGAAAAGGGAAAGGTCCTTTTTGCTAGGGGGAAAAAAAAGTAAAAGAATTGAAATTCCATTTCTGCTGAATTCATTTTCTTTGACCACCAAGTTGCAGAGCTGACAAATCATTATTTGCACTGAGGTGCTTATATTTGCACAGCTCTAAATCATTGCTATCTGCTGTGGAACTACTTAATTTTTGCTAATCAAGTTGCCCTAAAACCTGCTCTGCTACAATTAGAACATGGCACTGCAAATTTATTGGCCAAATAATCCTTCACTCGCTTTTAAACCAGCATAATGATTCCAGATTGCTGGGCTCAAAGATCATCATCCTGTCAAAACAGATCAATGCAGCTGATGTATTCTAAGAGCATTAAAATGATTTCTTTACACATGCATACAATTGCCTAATTGGTAACGCAGCTGACACAAACTCTCTGGCCACACCCAGTGACTACATTTCTCTTTATTTTGCAGTTTCAGGGCTTTAGATACAACAACCACAATCCTAGAACTGCACAAATTGCACCGTCAGGACTAGATCACACACACACACCCAAAACACGTCACAGCAAAGATTTCCAAAAGCAACGCACAGAGGGATCAAGCCTTTAGCACAACGAGCTCAAAACACCCCAAAGGAGCTGCATTTTCATCTAGAATTTTGTGCTTTTTTTTCCTTAGAGCTATTACACTTTGAGACACAACAGAATGAAGCTACAAAAGCGCTCACTAGTGTCATAATCCAGTGTGTTACAGGCAGGGACTCCACTCCAGTGTGTGACATCAGGAAATCTCAGTCAGAGGAGTTCATAGGCCAAAGGTAAAGCTATAAAACTTCCCAGAATTTTCCCCTTAATACAGCCAACTTCTCTCCATATCCACTGAATTCAAAAATTACTCCTCCCTTCACAGAATGATGCAACAAGAAGTTCATAGAATAACTCTAATAGGATGACTTTGCAGTTAAGTTTTATTAATCAATCTTCCGGTCTTTAAATTATACTTTGTGGTTGAATCTCTAACCAGAAGAACTATCCCCCTACACACACACACCCATCTAGCACAAAATTAACAAAAGAAATCAACAACAAAATGCAGAAAGAAAATCTAATAGTATTGGCACTAACATCTGCCAACACTCACATTTTGGTTCCTGGTATTTTTATCTCTCTGAGACAGTGCTATTCTAAGTCTTACATGTCAGATTTTGCCTCCAACTAAGCATGCAGCAGCCAATTCCTGCTTTCCTTCATCCTGTAACAAATCCACCAGCAAGCAGCTGATGAGAGTAGATCTAAACCTGGAGAGGTAAAACTACAGGATACAGGGGAAAGGCTGCAGGACAGTCAACTCTTGGGATTCTAGAAACAGAGGATCAGGGACAAGAAGGTGCCAAACACAGCAACACTTCCAGCACTCTGCAAGATGTTACTGGTGATGGTGGAGAAGTCTGGAGGCAGGGCAGCCCCTGGAAGGGCTCTCACTCCTTCACCCAGCACCAGGCAAAGCACAGGGAAATGCAGGTATGGCTGCAAGGCCTTGTCCTCCTCCTGCCCTGCCTGGCAGCTTTGAGTCCTCCGTGTGCTCTTCCTTTATTTAGAGGCTTGACACAAAATCCATTCCCCTTCCTCTTTGCTCTCTGGAGGATCTCACACTGTCAGACAGAAATGCTCTGTTTTCTGCTCCATCATACAGAAAAACAGGTCCATGTCTAGAGGACAGAAACAACAATTCTCAACATATCTGGGGATTGGGATTTTTTGTTTAAAAAAAAATAAAGCATATTCTTGCTTTATAAGAGAATTTCCCCCATTTTCTTTTAGACCTGGTCCCTTCTACTTGGTTTTTGTGCTTCCTATTCTTGACAAAAAACCTCTTTCTGCAATAGAGGAATTGATAATTAAAAATGCAACATTCTCTGTGGAAATCACATTTGCAACACTATACAATTATTTTTCTTAAGTGTAACATTCACACATTCACAATATTTCTTCAGATTTTTAAATTATTGGATGAGAAAATATAGAACATCAACACTCTAGCACATTAAACAAACATACCAGTTTCCTACAACAGACACTTCTGCCTTTGGACTACATGATAATGCACCACCACAAATGAAAGGATAAAATTTAGTCAGGAGGGGAGAGAAGGACGTTTCTCAGTGTGAAAGGTCACTAGCACGAGCAGTTCTGCTGGGAAGGGGGTGGGTTGTCTGTGAGTCGCATGCTCCTTCCAGAAGTGCCCTTGGAACTGTCTGATTCTATACTCTCCGACATCTTTTCACAGATGATATCCACGAGGCGCTCAAACACCTGCCTCACGTTGATGTTTTCTTTGGCACTGGCTTCAAAGTAGTCAAAACCTGTGAAAAAAAAAGTGAACAAAAAGTATCAGTAAAGGCTGATGATAGTGAAGATGGTTTTTGGAATACTCCTAATTTTTTTCAGGACTCATCTTAAGAAAACAAGACATTAGATGGTTCCTAAGCTCTGTTGACTCTCACAATCTTGGAATAGTGAGCAGAAATACTTCTAAAACTTACCAGGCATCAATAATAGTCAAAGGGATGAATGGATCCTTACCATCACCCTGGTATGCACAACTGCAGATGATACAGATCTGAATAAACCCAGAAGGAGCTGAATTCTTCCCCTTATATCAGTGAAGGTCCCCTGGGCTGCAGCTGCTGGTGACATGCCACCACTAGCAATGTGAGAGACTTCAGGCTCCACATACCTCTGCCCCAGGGCCAGGCTTGCTCTACAAATCCCTTCTGCAGTCTGGCAAGAGCAAAGGCCAGAAAGACAAGGAAGATTGTACTTGCACTCCTGCTCACCAACTTCAGCACTCAAGAGCCAAATGCTCCATGACTTTGGTCTTGTTTTGTCCCATTCTTTGTTTAGACAGAAAGCTCTTCAGGGTGATTGAAAGTCACACAGCACATGTCACGACAGAGCACCTGTCCTGACAGGGATTGTCAGCACCACTGAATTACACAGCTTTGTGTGCCTCCTAGAGAGTAATCTCAGTGTCCAGTCACCAGCTCCTGGCTGCAATGATGAGTTCAGATTCCCAAACACTGCCTCTTTCTGATTAAAAACCACCAAACTAGCAAGGCTGGAGCTATGCCAAGGAGGGGATGGCACGAACAGCTCCTGCTGCCTCCTGCTGACACCCCACACTACTCTACCAGCCTCTCTCAGCCAGCCTGAATCCTGTCTCAGCAGCACGAACGCACTGAACTGTGAAGCATTTCGTTATCTTTCTAACCCCAGGGACCTCAAAGGCCAACCAGCACTTACAATGGCTGTTGCTTCTGTTCTAGCAGGTTATTAAATTGCCAGCAATGAGAGTTGAGGCACCACAGAGAGCTTATTTTGCAATAAGCAACATTTTGTTGTGATTCATTTGGGGGATATTCCGCACTGCATCAATTCTCTTTGATTCTGCCACAAACAAAGAGAAAGGTAATTTGGCTTAACTGATTAGTGTGCCACTGCTGGTAGGCTGAATCACCTCGATGTGTGAGATAAGTAGGTGTCCACCTCATTCTAGCACTTTTTATTTCGTGGGACAGCCTTCCTTACTAAATAGGGACTCCTATCCTGCATCAGGTGAGAGTTCTGTCTGTCCAGCTTGCTGTCTTTGATGATAAATAAAAACGATTCTAAAAGGCACAAAAATCAGAGAACTGCACTTAGATATTTGCCAATCCAACATTGGTTCAGCTTCTGCTACACCAATCTGTTTTGATTTCATTCACATTCAGGCCAATAACAATTTCTTAATGTGATTAGGGAATTATTTCAATGATGTTAATGTCACTGTGCAAAGTTAGATAACACACTGATGGATAACCTTTATGTGAATCGTTTGATGAATGTTAGCAGTTTAAGCAGTCAATAGCCAATTAAAAGAGATTCCTTCCACCTAACACACACAATAATGTCAGATAATGCTACTATAAGGAAAAACTGACTGATAAAACCAGACCTATTTCCAGCCCTTTTAAAAAGAGTGCTTAGCATTTTGGGAGGCTACAGAAGAGCAGGGCTGGGATAGCACTTCCCAGAGGCATGGTTAGCTTTTAGGTTGCTATGCACTGGGTGTTTCTCCAGGGTGAGCTGGACAAGCATGAGGATAGGTTGGGAGCAGAACTGGGCATTCTTCAGCAAAACAGTTTCCTACTGATGGAATCAGTTGCTATGGTAACTCTTTGTGTGTGTCTGGAAGTGTCCCATATGTAAAGGATTCACATTCCAAATGCCAAGTTTGTATTGAAACAAACAGATGAATTTTGGAGGGAGAAAAAAAACTCACTAGAAATCCAAATTGGAGTGGGAGTTCCAATAAAACTCTCTATTTGCTGTTACACTGGTCTGGACAAATGTTCATGAACTCACAGTGTAATTATTCCTGCAAAATATGTGGCAACACACGCATTCACAACCCTTTCAATAGTCTGCAAGCCAGGAACCAAGTTTATTCACATTCATATTTCCAAAAGCAAATTAAATTCTGATGGGTAAAAAAAAGCCCACAACTGATTTTGCAAACTAACCACATCTTTGCTAGTCCAAGATGTGAAGACTGATGATTATAATAATAATAATAATGATAATAATAATAACAATAATGATAGGCTTAGTTTGATATTTGCTCATTAGTTGCTTATGATGGCAGTGTATGAACAGGACCCCTTTGTGCTTGCCATCTGTAGAAGTCACCCTTGAAGGCTCTAATCCTTAGGTCTTTGCAGACATGCCTGTTTTTTTCACATGAAACATGAAAAAATAACTTGATTACTCTTAAATCTTTGGAACAGTGACCATCTTTTTGTTCATATCCCACAGACCCCTCTCACAAAGCCATACTTTATGCTTCCCTATGAATAGGGATTCTATAGCTTCCCTGCATTAAAGCAAAGCAAAACAGCACAGCAATAGCAAACCCCTCAACTATCAGATTATCCAAGATTCAAGCATAATGGGCAATTTGATCAAGGTCACACTTTAAACTACAGCAATGTATGCAATGTGTGCTGGAACTCCAACAGCCCCAGCTTTACAGTGTATCGTGCACCTTCCAATTACTGCTTAAGAACTGAAGACAACACAGGATTTTATAAATTGGGGATGATAGTGATTCCTTTGGATCTGGTAAGAACCTCTGCTCTTACAAGCTACACAAATATCTAAGCTCACTGTAGGGTCTTCACTGTTAGTTAACTGAATTAAATTTTAACAGGATTTACTTGCTGCTTTGAATTCTGTAACAGAAGGAAACAGTATAGATAAATCTGAGCACAGAGCCCTGATTCCATATTAAAAAGATCATAGATACTATAACAGATACTGAAAAAAAGATAAATACATTATAAATGTGTTTACATTCATTCTAACATTTTCACTGCAATCCCATTTTCCTCTCAAAGGAACTGTTTTGCTTTTTCTATCCCACATTAATAACATAGCCATTTTCTTACCTGGATAGAGAAGCCTAACATATTTTAAAAATATGTTTTACTCTGTTCTACAGTTCTGATGTGTAAACTCCTTTTTCCATTGTTTAGTAAAAAAAAAATTCTTCTATAAAAATCAATGTTTGCATTGATTTGCCATGAGTACATGGGAGTTGGAGACCTGGAGATAGAATAGTGTTTATGAAAACTTATTCCCTTTTCATTCTGCTGAGCTAATAAAAGCTGTTCTCTGCAGACAAGCTTTATCTTCCTTAGACATTATCATCCTTAGACATTAGCTTTACAGATACAGCAACACTACAAGAAGGTGCTATTCTACCAAGCATGTCTTGGCCTACTGAGCAAGAAAATAGGGACCTAGAATATATTGCACTTCTTAGTTGTGAGCCCATTATTAAAGTAATACTGCTGAAAGGGCTTTTTATTGGACAAACTAAAAGGAATACAATATAAAGGGGGGGGGGGGAAGGTATGAAAAAAAAGCTTTCCATGTACCTAGCTGATCTGCCAGATGTTTCCCCTTCTCCACAGGAACAGTTCTGTCATCCTCCATGTCACATTTGTTTCCAACCAGGATCACTTGTGCATTGTCCCAGGAGTAAGTCTTGATTTGTGTGGCCCTACAGCAGGTCAAAAAGGATTGTTACATTCCATCAGCTGTGCCAAAATACAGTCATATATTAAGTACAAAAACAACATAAACATCTCAAACTGTGTTGGTTAAAAGACAACTGACCAGGCTCACACACAAAGCATGAATGCAGATAATGTAATTCACAGCATCATCCTATTTTGTCACTCCTTAACTCTGTGTGGCAGTTAAGTTTCTTAATACTTTGCAAGTGCTTTAGAGATCACTAGATTGAGATAAAAAGCTGAATTGAGTAGTTTTTGAAGTCTAGGGACGAAAAAGTCTTCTTCTAAAGCTTCTTCTCCTTCAGCTGTCATTCATCAGAGGAACAACATTCAAGTACAGCTCTAAAGGATATTGTCCCATAGAGAAAGTCATACAATAGATGGCACACTTCATGCTGCATTTGCAACTTCTTACAAAAGACAGGACAACAATAATTCAGAGCAGACAAAAATGGATGCTCATTTGCTGTAGTTTTAGGAACACCATAACAACATCAAGTCATCTTTGCTTGAACAAGAAAACTGTTTCAAGGAGATTGAAATTCGCATAGAAACATGGACACAGTAGCGAAAGAGAAATTTACCAAATCAGGAAGCTATGGGATCAAGACTAGGCTCTGTGAGCTAATATTTGAACCCAGCAGGATTAAGTCATCCCTAAGGCAGGAAACAGCAGATGCAATGACAGACAGCAAGTATCAGACCAATGCCAACTTCAATGACGCAGGGATGCAGTGCATGGGAGCTTAGGCAGGAGCACTGGGGTGAACCTAAAGCCTCTGAAGCTCTCTGTGGCTCATCTACTCAAACTGGAGTGGAGCTCACTGTGCATCCCAAGGCTCTGGCCTTGCATTTGGCCTTTTCAGCGTTTCGTCATGACAACAGAGGAAGGTTTTTTTTCCTGTTTATCCTGAGGGGTCAGTCCTCTCCCACCATCCTCAGTGAGGGTTGTCCCAGAGCCAGCAGCAGAACAGTATTAGCTTGGTAGCATTCATTTTCATCCATTTTTTCAGACCAGCACAACCTATTTAATCTTCACCAAGTCAGCTCTATCTTTTAAGACTCCCTCCTTCCCAAAGGTAATTAGGCTGCTCTGCCAGAAGCAATACACTCCTTCCCTCCTCCACCCCTTCTCCAGTCCCTAACTCACCCTCCCACTCTTTCTTCCTACTTGCCACCACTCCAGACAGAGCACTACAGTTTCAGGCAAACCTGCCATTTCCCAGGAGACCCAGGAATACCCTCAGATTTTTACTTCTGTTTAAGTTTCCTTGAACTCCCTTAAACAATAAAGCACTTGATTCCTTCTCTTTGGAATTAGCAGCAGCCTCCAGCTCTGATCTACTAATGATAATTTTTAATTAGTTTGAGTTGCTTACTTGCCTTTTCCATGGCAAGCACCCAGTCACGTTACTCCACAAATAACTATGAAAAAAGGGGTCATTTCACTGTGCAACTTGCTTTGCAGCAGCTTATTTAAATTGCACTGGAAAACATAAACCTGAACCAAGCCCACTGCACAAGCCCAGACCGTACTGCAACATGCAAAAACAGACTCTGTGCCCTGAAACTTCTTCCTCTTCCTAATGTCCTCTTGCAAAGGCGCTCACACCAATCCCAGTTTTGGCTCCTCCAGTTTCACCCTTTTGAGTGCCTCCATGTAGACAAACCCCATGAGGGCTAATACAAGCCTTGATGAGACTCTGAGGGTCATCACAGAAGGAGGTGACCACAGAAATCAAGCAAAAGCCCAGAAAGAGAACATCTCCCCAGTCTCCCTCCATAAGCAATAGAGAAAAAGAAAGTTTTTCCAGGTTCAATTTAAAACACCTACAACCAGGCTCCTCCTCTGCCTCTGTCCTCTCTCTGGATTTATTTCAGCCCCTGGGGACTGAAATTTGTATGGGGACACACTGCCAAATTTTAACTGTTTAATGAAACTGTAAATGAAAAAGAAGCAAACAGCATGAAGAATCTCCCACAGGAACACATCCTTCTCCTTGTTTTGTACACCTTAGTGAAAAACCTCTCCTGCAGAACATTGACATTTACACCCATTAGGAATAAAAAACAACCAACCAACCGAGTTACGAAGAACATCTAAAAACTCTGATGCCCATACAAAAAGAGAGGCAGCAAATTTCCAGAAGCTTTTGGAAAGATAACAACTACCAGGGCAGCCCAATATACACACTGGGAGAAATGCATTTCTGTGACAATAAAAATGCCGTGCCTTGTTTGTGCTGAATTCCCCAAATTAACAATAGAGCACGGGGTTTGTGCTTCATGCTTAGAAGAAAAATAGTCTCAGGTACACAGTTATGTGGAGGTATCAATAACCCAATTTGGAGAACAGCCTGAAAGATAAACAAAGCTGATGATTTTTGGACCCAGCTGTTGCTTATATCTAAGTTACATTTTACCAATTTTTATTTCCTTCTATGAAATTGTCTAGATTGTCCAAGCAGAGCTTCCAAAATATTTTCCACTTACTTTACAGTTTCAAAAACTGATTATATTCTAGTTCCAGTACAGTTTCAAATGAGGTATAAAGCACTGATTCATCCACACACAGAACTATCAACCCAATGTCAAATAATAGCTATCCAAGGAGACTACTAAAAAAGAATTCTAGAAACTGAGCTAAAAGCCATGAAAGCTCATTTAACCCTTTCACTCACCCTACAGGAAGGACAGCTTATATTCAAACAAAATCATTGCTTATTTTCAAATATCAGGTAAATCTATTTCTGCTTTTGCCCATTTATGCTTTTTCTTGTACAATAACCTGACTGAATTCTTGCCACACTGCAGTAAGGAAAATCACTCAGGCTTAATCTTTTAAGGCTTCTCACACAATATGATGTACTTTTTCCAGTGAAGGAGCAATAGAATAAATCATGTTCCAGATATTCCCAAATTGTGTCTTTTTCAGTGGCTTTAAGATAATAATTTATCGATCACCCAATTAATTGGGGTGATTCATGTGAATGAAAGAAAGACTCAACTTCACATTCATATACTACCTGGAGAGGCTGTCTAAATACCTGATACACAGCCATGATCCTCCTCATTCAGGAGATAGTGCCTTTACTTGATTTAGGAGAAGTATGAGTGACACAAAGCAAATCGAGATCCTCTTTAGGACATCCACCCATAAGCAGGGTGAGGGAAAAAGACCTCCCAAAGGAAGAAATCATATGGCAAACTGGAAGAGATATTCTCATTTCCCTTTTTGACAGGTGAGACCTGATCAGGAGGCTGTTAAACGGTCACGGGCTGAAGAACCACAGATGGAGCTCTGAGCTGAAGGAGCTCAAGTAGTAGACACCTTAATTTTCCACAGAGAGTACAATTCCTGACCAAAGACCAGATCCAGTGTAACGGGCTTTTTTTCAGCATAATTGTATCATGCAGCATGGTGGAAATAAAAAACCCAAACCAAAAATCCTACCTACTTGCTATGCTAGAAAATGGCAGAGGCTGATATAGCAGCAGACAAAAGCTTTTGTTTCCATTTCATGGGCCTTCAGAAGTTTCGAAAGCGATTTTGCAGACTGGGAAAACCCATCTCTCAGCTCCACGGCCACTAGAGGACTCTGCTGGCCCTGTGATGCTGCCTTTGCTGCAGCTCTCATCTCTCCTGTGGACGAGCTTCAGAAGGGAACGAAATGAGAGGATTTTATCCTCCCCACTACATCATTTGGGTTCAGAATCTTAAAACTGGTTGGAAAAATTCCTGACATACGGAGTACAAATACACTGATGGTTCACCTCTGTCCTTTGGCTGACAAGGTGCTCTCAGCAAAGATATTCCTGCAGCTCCCATGGCACAGGATGACAGGAAGCCAAATAGACAAAGCTGACCTTTCCCAATTCTTCCTCTTGCCACCAGTGCCTTGACAGAACAGACCTTAGACCATTTCCAATACAAAACTTCCAGTTAAATTTCACCTGTACAAACTTTAAGACAGTAGCAGCTCAGAGATTAAGATTTGGTATTTTTTAGCTAAGTTAAGACTGATAAGTAAAACTTATTAGAGCAGAACCAACAGACTGACAGATAGATGGACTGTGTGATCATATATCACTTGTTTCATCAGGGAACCAAGCTGAAAATCTTTATTGTTTAATGAAAGATCTTGCCCTAGCTCACGTGCCTGCACTCCTATGGAAAACATCCCTGTGCAGACACTTGCAGAAAAAGCTTCATCTGAGTTTGGTGGAGGGTGTGCCACAGGGAGGAATCTGGTTTTGACAAAACCTTTGAGTTTGTGTTTCTAAGAAGGAAAAAATTTACTCCTCTGTCTCTAGCCGCTGAAGGACAGCTCAGGAAGGTGCTGCAGTTCACCTTCTGCAGCCTGGTGTCATGCTACTGGAGATGGGGTGAAAGTGGATGCTACATCTTTAGACGTGATGATCATGACCAACTGCTTCAGTGGACAGTGAGAACAGAAGATGGACAGCCTCAGAGGAAAGCCAAGTTGCTAGAAACAACAAGCCATGTTGTTGCAGCTTTTGAGTTACAGCCTAGATTAGGGAATACAGAATAGGTGTTCAACAGAAAGCCAGACCGAGCTGGATGCTAAGAGCCATAGCCAGCATGTCACATGCTCCCAGGAGGTCACCCAGATCACTGCAAATCAATCAGACTTGGGAGATGATAGTAACCACTGCATTGCCTCTTTGCACACCGACCACACTTATCTGCAGTGCACAGCAACCAGGCAACAAGCAGAAATGATTGCAGGACATTTGAAGGGAGTCATGGGGGTGCTAATTCTGAGGATAAACACAGCCTTTCCCCCAGTCCCTGAGATTTGAATTGAACAACCACTGTTAAACTGAATTGTTTCAGCAGCCTAGCCAGAAACCTCATAAGCCCAAATAATGCATGCAAGGATTAATTTCTTTACAATAAATTCAAACTTTTAAAAGCAACAACTGCTATGGTATGCTACAACATTTGAATTATAACATTGTCATTAAAGTGAAGCTGCAGAACTTTCACCAAGGAAAGTTTATAAATCAAATTATTTATCTCGGAGTTTAGATGAAGAGGAAAGAATAAGGCGATGCAAAACACTATGGAGGGTGTGATGTCTCATGTTCTCAACAAACAATTGTGAGGAGAGAATTGGCCTAAACCCAAACAACCCCAACAACAACAGCATTTCATACCAGTCCTGCACTGCGTTGAAGGAGTCTTCACTGGTGATATCATACATGAGGACAAAGCCCATGGCACCTCGGTAGTAGGCTGTAGTGATAGTCCTGTATCTTTCTTGTCCAGCTGTATCCTGGAACAGAAAGGAATATTTATGCTTTAAGACTTCAGTTCTCAGAAATAGGAGTTGTAGTTAGGTCCCATATCTAAAACAAGGCAACCACTTTTTGTTAGTATACATTTTAAAATTCTCATTTGCTCTCAACTGAAGTGAGCTCTACTTACATTTTAGCATTAATTAGACTTTTGCTTCAAGCATGATTTGTTAAATGCATTTTGACATGTCCTATTAAAAAAAATACCAAAGATGTCAACCCTTTAATTGCTCTTCTCTGCCTCAGCCTCAATGCAATAATAAAATGTTAGCAGAGTTCACCGAAAGCTGACACTTCAAAGCAGAAGCAATAGAAAACAGTTCAGGACTGTACCAGGCAAAAGACATTTGTGTGTTGCAATTCAGTGTCACGGCCAGGAAAATGTCCTTGAGATAGATGCTGGGGGTGACTCAGTTCTTACCTCAGGTTAGAGACAAGAATTAAAAATTTGATGCAATGAACATTATTATACACAGTGAATTGAATGTGGAATATCCCAATCACAATGGCTGAGGTGCACATACTAATTTGAGATTTACTAATCCTCTTGTGTTGGTTCAGCTTAATTCTCTTTACCTATAGAGTGCTGCAGAGTACCTCTACCTGCAGTTATCACTTCTGTGTTCAGTCTGGGAGCACAAAGGTGAATATACAAGAGGAGAATTTTGAAAGACTTGTGACAGCTAGACAACATGTCAGCTACCATCTGTTAGATGCCAATAACATTTATTCCTCACATTTTGTGTGACTGCTCTTAAACTGAGGAATATTTCTGTATTGGATCAGCTGCCCTGCAGCCAATCCCTTCCCTCTGGACCTGTCTTCTGAACCAAGGAGAGAAGTTGTGTGCTGAATGTATCTCTCATGCAGAAGGTATCTATCATTTGAACAAACACATTCAATCCAACTTTGGGCCAATGGCAGCTCTGTGAAACAGCTCCAGGGAGGCCAAAGGCCTCACCTTCAAAGAGTGGGCTCAGCATAAGGTGTTGAGTGCTAATTGCTGCAATGTGTTAGTAGTTCTGAAATTAATGGTCTTTTTGTCCCCCCAAAACCCACACTGAAGAAAGCGTTTGCTGCCACTGATTTAAAAGGTGATTAAAATTCTCTTCTCTGAAGAAAAACTCCCCAAAGGACATATCAAAAGAGTAAAATAAATCCATGTAGAGCACTCTTGCAGGCATACAGAGCCAGTTTCTGATCACACGCAGCACATCACAACCCCAGAATACAGTGGGAGGGAAAGTACTCAACTTTAAAATCATCCTGCCCATCATTCCTATGCATGCAGCTTTGGTTTTGCTGCATGCAAGAGACAGTGTTGGCCCTTCCAGAACACACACCAGCCAGTCTGTTGTTCTGCACCAGAATATCACAGAGGCTCTCTGTAGGAGGAAAGCGTTTGTAAATAAGCTCCCTACAGCTTGCTTAAAAGGCTCTGCCTACTGCACTACTGAGAGACTATCCACAGCTGTAACACACTGTGAGTTTCCCAGTGGAGAGACAATGCCGCAATCTTGCTGTTTCTCCACCAGTTCCCTGGAAAAAGGGATTTTTTCCTTTCAACTTGTCATTTATTTCAAGACAGAGTAGTCCGCTGGCGGATCACGAAGCATTGCACACTGGCTGAGAAATAGTTCTCCAGTTCCCTCCTGACAAGAGGCATCACAATGAGGTGGACCACACCTTGCAGCCAGAGTGATCTTTTCTTCTCCTGCCAGGGATAAATCCATCACAGAGCATTTTTGTATTCATCAACACCACATCCTCACTTAGCTACTGAACAGCTAAACCAGCCATGGCAACTAGATCCTAACTACACTTCTTCAAGCAAGGAAGGTCTCAGCAGCAATAGTACTGTTCTTTTATTCAGAAAGACATGATAGTTGCTTTATTTTAGCCTGATTTCCTGAAGACACAAGGCTTATTAAATCATCAGTCTCCACACATGCACTTTTGACCAAATTTGTTTGAGGGGAAGTGCTTTTGAATGTTCTTACACATGTCACAGAAAATAGTTGGTAAGGTGAAAAGAGACCCTAAGCATACCTTAGCTGGGGGAAAAAAAGCTTAAGTGCAATGATTATCTTCCCAACACCAAAGGATTCACAGGAGAGAGGCTTTCTCCGTGCCTCATCAGGAGAAGGTGCTGAATCAGTATTAGTAATATCACAGACTCTTCAACCAACAAACCCAAACAAATCCCTAGGAAGTCAGGCTTGTCCATTGGTCATACCCACAGCATTATTGTTTTACACCTGCATTCCCAGATTCTTCTCTCTCTCAAATCTCATCTCCTCTTTTCTCTTCTGTGTTTAACTAATGCTCATTTTGGCTTAGGGCGTGAGGCTGTGACTGGGCAGTAAGTGACTGCAAGACACGTTGTCTAGCTGCATGCAGAATAATTTGAAAAGAAATTAAATTTGACAATGGCACAGAGCAAGGACTTAGCTCTGGGGACATACATTCAGGCTGTCCTGGGAAGCAGCCCCCAGGGTCACTCAGGGTGACTTCCAAAACCTGCCCTGATATCATCTCAGTGCCTCAGTTCAGTGAGGAACTGGACTCATCTGTGATAAAGGCAGACTGTGGTACCTGAAAACTCTGGAATTTAGCAAACCTGGTTTGTTGACTTCGGTGCTCTGCCCACAAACCCCCTGTGTGTGTGAGTGGCCCCAATTTATGTGACAGTGACAGACAGGGTTGGGGCTGCAGGAGGGGCAGAACCCAAAGGGCTACATGCCTTTGCTTAGTCATGACCTGTTCTCTGCTGGGCAATGCACTTAACTCATTAGAAAGGTAATTTGCACATTCAGTAGAATATGCTTAGGTGCCTGCCTAAGGTTCTCAGAGGGAGTGTGTGTGAGGGAAAAGCATCCTGTATTTCATGGTATGTAAGGTTTATTCGTAACCTTGTCCTGGTAGCCGTGAGGTACAACACAGAATGTGATTCACCTCCATGTGAGTCACTGATGGTTTCCTCGCCCTGTTTTACTGCACAGGTACAGAGCATGTCATCTCCCCTTATGGGTTTGTAGTTGCATTTCTCCAAATGCATTTGAATTGTTGTAATATCACCCTGAAATTACTTTTTTTCCTCAGGTTATATTCACTTCTTAGACAGCTATAAACTGGCTTAATTTTCTTGACTCACACCATGATACCTTCAGTGAACAACCCCACACACAGAGATGCCTCATCATAAATAAAATAAAACAAACTGCAAAATCCGAGCTCACTTTCTTCAGCATTTACAATAGCTGTCCTCAGCTCAGCTTAAAACACCACAAACCTTCGGTAATTAGGCATTTCAGGGTTTTACATTCAAGTAGTTTATCTAATGAAGGAGAAAATAACTGAGATTGCTCCCCACAAACTGTTTGCAAGATTTCTAGGTAGACCACAAGCTCATTAGAAGAGAAGTAGATGAGGCACAGGCAGGGATCAGCAGAAAGCCGATGTAGCACTAATTAACAGTCTAGCCAAATACCTGGGAAGAATAGCCTGAGCATCCAGAAGCCTGCAAGGCTGTCCCTGATGAGGAATCAGAGAGCTTGGCTGTAACCAAGCATAGAAGGGTCTCTGTGAGGTGTATTTACACCAATCTGCTAACAACTCTGTTCTTTTGTAGCTTACGTGTGTCCCTGTCCTTGATGCAAACAATTAAAAACACCCACCAGACCATTAGCTGGTAGCTTGAAACAAAAATGTGAAGGTTTCGCATTAATGAGCAATCAAAATTCAGTGTTTATCAAAGGAGAAAACGACCTAAATGCATTTGCATTGTGTGCAGATGCCCTCTACTCACAAGATCCATCACATAAACATTCATGACAGGAGCACAACCAGCTTTTCTTAAATTTACTTGGCTGTCTCAGCACAAACAGCAAGGTACTTACACAGGAAACACATTTGAGTTTTTAAATCATGACAGATGCTCTTTGCTGCAGGTCTGAAAAAGCAGAACCCATGATTCTGAACCATCCTTCTCCTAGTGAAGATTTCCAGCCACAAGTTCTTTGTTCCAAATAAAATGTCACTGAAACATCTAATCTGTACTGAATTTAATCCCCTTAGCACCATGACTTTTCTAGCAGTGTACGTGATAAATAGCCTCTAAAGAAATAAAAGTTTCTTTTTTTCAAAGGATTATGGTTTGATTTTCATGTGGGGTTTTTTTGTTTGTTAGAGAAGAACAATATGCAAGAATAAGAGCTGCTTGTTGTCCAGCTGGTTGGCAACAGAACAGGGGCTATATCCACCGCAAGCACCAGCACCAACCACAACTTAGGGCTTCATCAGCTATGGTGAAGGAGACAATTCATCCTTGCTGTTCAGTGTCACATTTTAACACCTATGCTACAGTTTTTTGCACCTTGTTTGGAGTTTGGTCAGCCTTGGAGACAGGATAACCGACTTCCCCAGCCCCACGGTTATAGGGGCAGCAAGCTGTTAGACATCAAAGTGTCAGGGAACATCTGACCCCCTGCAAATACAGCTCAGTTCTCAGCAAGACTGGCCACCTCAGCTCCTGTTCTCCACAGGACAGATCACCTGAATAAACAAGAAATAGAGGCATATCCTGAAGGCAGAGGACTGTTTTCCCTGCTATCTGAGGCTCAGAAATACCTGACCCCTTTATATCCAAGACCTGTTCACACTCCCTATTTCATGGATGAGGAAACATTGGCATTTACATGGAGCTATGCTGGTGTCTCTGCTGTGACCAGTGAGAGTGCCACTGTGCAGTCCATAACCTCCACTCCACCCTGCTCTCTTCCCACCTCCAGGCAGATCTCTCCAAGTGTTCATGCAGCCTTCTCCACTGCTGCCCTATTCTGCCTTCCCCCTGGACTGAGCTGGCTGCTCAAAACAGCCTTTCCCTTACCTTTCTGGACTCTTGCAATGTGAGGTATTAAAATTCCTCATGAACTCCAGCTATTCTAGTTGTTTTGGTCACTATTATTGCTGTGAGGTG